AGAAGACAACAAAAATTAATAGTTAACAAACAAACATTTTATTCATGTAAAAAGGACTTACCTTATTTAAAGATCATAATCAAAACTTTAATGTTAAACCATAGTTTGTTTTATGTATGTTTGACTAATAAGATGTTGGAAAATTTACATAATATTTATCAGGGACTAATTAGCTATCCAAATTACAGTAGTGTCGAATATTTCCTGAAGCAGTGCGGAAGGACACCAAGATCGGCTCGGAGGACGGGAGCAGCGCGTCGCAGGGTGCAACTCAGGGGTCACTCTTTCTATATCGGTGCCGCAGCGCTTCAGGCGCAAAACCATGTTGTCTTACATCAAAATTAAATTTGGTTGTCAGCTTATTTCGTCTAAGTCATGTTTATTCACCATCGTTGTTTTTTGACAATTGTAAACTGAAAAATTATTTGTATATCATAATTTCATCAGAAACGTTAGGATATAAGCAAATACACCTGAGTTGATAACACACTTTAATTTTTATAATTTTTACTGTTTTATTTTATGCTGACAACTGCACAAGAAAGCTGGTTGTAGTTTTTCAATTTTTTATTATATTTACATTACAAGTTTCTATAGAACAATAAAACAAAAAACTAAATTTATGAGTCAACTCTGACAACACAAGAAATTGTAGGTAAAAGAACGAACAGATGCCGTGGAAAAACCACGATTTATAAAGTCATTACCAGCAGGAATAGTAGTTATATGAATGTTTCGAAAATCACAGCTTTCTCTAAGTTTAAATTTTATTTCTGGTAAATTATCGTTTTCTCACATTTGGAAAAAAGTTTCGTTGTAAAGCAAAATATGAGAAAATTATTATCGCAAAATTGTTTTCTAACAACTTTTTAGAAGTCTGTGTTTAGGTATACTGTTATTCACTTTGTTGTCTTGCCATGGTATGCAATACTAGTTAAAGTTTGTCTAGAATTATTAGAATTTTATGGACTCCCAAAGTTAATTCGTTTTACAGCCCTGTTGTCAATTGTATTGTACAGCTGAAGAGCCGGGCGAACTCAGGTACAGAAAACATCGGCTTTCCCCTGACAGGCTCTTTACCTGTACAATAGAATTGACGCCTGGGCTGTAAAACGAATTAACGTTGGAGTCCATAAAATTCTTATAATGCTGGACAAACTTTACTACGCTACACCGTATACAGGGTGTTTATTAAAGATGCCGCAAAAATTCAGGGGGTTATTTCTTGGATTATTTTAAGATTTTTTTCTTTGTCAATTAATGACGGAAAGATTAGATGCCTGCATTCTAGCTGGTGTTAGTCATTTTCAGCAGTTTTTGTGGATTAATAAGAATATTTTAATATAATTTGAATTAACAAAGCATTGTTTTCTTATCTTCTTCTTTTATCGCCCTGTATCTTCCAAACAGAACAATTAATTGTTCATATTCAATTAAAAAGTACCACGACTAATGATTAAAAATAAACTTTCAGAATATGAATGATATAATGTCCACTAAGTATACGTTCGAAATAAAAAAACTCTTACCTTCTTGATATGAATGTATCAGTTTTGGTAAATAGATACGACACGATCCAAAAAAGGGGCCCAAAGGAATCAGAATCAGTATATTGAAGATGTGACAGATCTTGGGTTAGTGCATATTGAAAATAGAACAATCTCAGACGTATTAGCATAGTCTACTCATATGTGAAAATTTTTTTTTCACGTGGTATAAGATAACATAAAACATCATGCTACTATGATTCCAGAATTTCAGGGAAATTGAATAAACCTGTCTGTGAAATGGTCGATGAAAAAATCGGTTCACACGTTAAACGTTATTTCCCGTATAGACAGCTGTAAACACAAATATAAATGTCACAGGTTATATGTTTTTTATCTTTACTTCCTGAGCGTAAGCAACAGTACGAAGAAATAGGTCTTCAGTTTCCGTCTGTTTGTCTGTCCGTCTGTCTGCCGTCTCGAATTTTTATTAGACACATAATCTCCAAAAGTACTATGCCCATTGTTGTGAAATTTTTTATTTTCAAACGTCATATAACTGACACTTATATCACCCTCTTACCGGGGTTTAAGTGTCATTTCTATGACACCGTGTTTGAGCGGCGCATAAGTACTACTTATACTCCAACTCATAGTGGTTGACAACCATAGTAACTATGGTAAGTGAAATCAAGGCAATTCCTTAATGAAGCAAGAAGATAGGAAATAATCATTTCAAAAGAAGATTAATCGTTTGAAAATAAAATATTGTAGTTCATTCGGAGTTTAAGTGACTTCATGTGACTCGTATGGACTTAATTCGCCTCGCTATCGCTCGGCGTTTAATCGTCCATACTCGACACATAAAGTATCACTTAAACTCCTAATAAAATAAATATCTATTATTTATATTAGGCATATCATGTAGATGGTAAAGCGATGACCAAAATTTGTCTAGTCGTCCCAACCAACAATGTGATGACGTCATTTCAAAATTGTACATAGTAAATGGGTTTTAATCTGTATAAAATAACATAGTCCAGATTTTAGGAAAAAAATATTTGCTTATCCCCTCCAAAAAATTGGTGACCTCAACTCAAAATTTTGCCGAATAAATCCTATTTAAAATAATTTATCATTTCATTGAATTTGCTTATACAGGGTGACTCAAAAAAATTAATGAAAATTGACAAATTGTTTCAGTATCACCTATCTATCTTTGCTTTCAAGTTATTTTTCTCTGCATCTCCGCCGTACTTGCGTCGTAAATTTTATACAAGGAAAAGTATGTTAAACTCAAATCTGTCATTAAGGAATCTTAAAGAACTGTCAATGCCAAAGCATTACACATCTATCTTTCTGAGATCTTTCACGTATAATATTATCAAAGTTTACAATAAATTTTTATTAGACTTTAATTCGAGTTCCTCCAGCAATTGTTTTAGGAAAAAAATAAAAATGTGCTTGATTAACACTTAGGTTTAAGTTCATTATTGTGGTTCTATTGCTCCTTGCTAACTTTTTGTTATTATTATTGTTATTATTTGTATAAATTTAGTTTCTAATTATGGATTATTTAATTTACATTTAATTAGTTTAAACTGTTTAATTTGATCATTACCTAGCTGACTCCTGTGTAGATATTTATTCCGTTTTTATGTATAAACTGTTTAGTTAATTTTATTTCCTTGTAAATCTAAGGTTAAGTGGAATAGCCTATGGCTAGACTTCGCCTATTATTATTTAATAAAGTCCTATTATCGTTATTATTATTAATGCGTGAATTTATTTTATTGATTTAATCAGGAACTGCAAAACCGAATGCTTTGAAATCATGGAGACGTTTTAAAGTTATCATAAGCATGGTAAATTTTTATTCAAAATGTAGTTGCTCATCCCCCCTAAAAAATTGATAACGTCACCTCAAAATATTGCTGAATAAATCCTTAGATCTCAAAGATACAAAATATGATGAATCTATACTTGTGATTTATCACTGTACACAATACTATTTTTTAGATTTGTTATACAGGGTGTCTCAAAAAAAATATGACTAAGTCAATTTATTTTATTGATTAAATCAAGAATTGCAAAAACTGAATACTTTGAAATCTTGCAGACGGTTTAAAGTGATTGTAAGCATAGTAAATTGTTAATCAAAATATATCTGTTTATTCCCCCCAAAAAATTGAAAAGGTCAACTCAAAATTTTGCCGAATTGAAGTTTTTACTTATGATAATTTTTTAGATTTGCTTAAACAGGTGGCTCAAAAAAAATTAATGAATGTGTCACTTTATTTTATTGATTAAATCAGGATCTGCTTACTCTATTTTCCCAGAAAATTTTGAGAATACAATACTGTTATTTTTAGTATTACACTGCACCACTCAACTCGAAAATCATGGATGTTTAATTGCATTTCAGGAGCGAGGGAAGTTCTGTCGAAACAACTTTCGACTAACTTTTTAACATTTATTTTATAATTTTTTGAGAACAAACAACTCTGGAAACCATAAAATTTGGGAGTCCAAATTAATGGCTAAGTACTATTGCTAATAATAAAAAAAGGCGACAGAAAAAGTTACTTTTTCTGACGCCGTCTAATATAAGATTCTCCAGTTTCGGGGAATAATTGTAAAAAAAATTGACCTGACAGACAAAATGAATAACCCACATTTTCGTATTCCATGAACCATGAGATACCCAGAAAACATGAAATTAAACACTTGTCTAAATCAAACTGTTAAAAATGCTCACCTGTCTCTAGAGAAGTGATTCATTACAAAAAAAGCTCTTTAGATAAACTCCAGTAAACCTGTTGTTGAGTGAAAGCTTGTTTCAGTATGAAATTTACAGAATCTAGTACTTGATAACATTTTACTTCTTTTGTACTAGCAGTTCAAATATGTAAATCTACATTGGAAATTTCATAGTGTGACTTGTAAAGGATTACAGTATACTTTAAAGTTTTTAAATTCTAAATTCGTGACACAAAAATTCTACTGAATATCCGTATGAACCAATATTGTTTTCCAGTCAAAAATCTTTATAATTGAACTGAATTCTTGATCATTAATTACATCATGAACTTTTTCAAGTCAGTGATTGCTATCACATGCTCTATTGGCAACGCATACTTGATCATCAACTGGAAAGTAAAGAAAAGTTCCTCTTTATGACTCTTTAGATTTTGTAAACATTATAACTAGTCTGTGGTTATAAGACAATCATGTAACAGCAAAAGGTATTGTAATATTTTTAACTCCATTTTCGGACGTCGTTCAATATACCTTTGAATTAAATCTTCATCACTATCACTATCAGTATTTTCACAATAGAGAGCGTACCATACATGCCTATCATATAAAATAAATATACTATTTTATACCCTGCATACAAAGAGCATTTTTCTTTGTGCTTTCTATTATGTTGTTATTTCCTTAACTTATTTTAAAATGTTTGGTTTTATCCAACAATGAACCGAAACTTTTTCTTCATCTTAATTTTCTTACCCGAAACTAGTTGTGTCCATCCACACACATGAAAGACTGTAGTTGAATGACAGAAGAAAAACAGAATCATGGCACAAATGGTCAATAGGGCACTAACCACCGCTAGGCCAACAAAAACAGTGGCGGCCTGAAAAGCACTGCTCGCAATGCTCATAAAGTCATCGAGTCTGCCCTTGCATTGTTCACCAGTCTCTTCCGCATAGCACACGGACCACAGACCGAATTTGCCTGGGGTTTCGCTGTCGGTGTCGCCGATCCACTCGGGGGTAACGAAGGACACTACGCCGATGATGGCGTAACAAATGGTGAAGATGGCCCAAAGGACGCCGATGGCTTTCGAGTTGCGGACGTAGCTCGTGGCGTAAATCTGGGACGAGTCCACATATTCGATTTTTGAGCCCATTCTCGAAGATCGCACTCACAGAGAACACATAGCGAGAAGATGGCGGTACTCTCCGCAACAAACACAGACTGAGGTATGATTTCACCTTCTTTTACCTGACACACCTGAATACCAAGTCTTCCCACCTGTACAGACTATGCTTAGTAAGGGAGGGGAGTGTTCTTCGGTAAATGTACCTATGCTGAATGTTGATTAGTATTTGCCGATCGTGCAGAATGAGCTAAATTTAGACACAGAAACGATACATAGGACGATTTTCTGCTAATTAAATGAAATAAAACTAGGTTTTCAATCAACTGATCCACTTTCTGCGTTTAATTAAAGGCATGATTAAATTTCTCAGCTTATCAGACAACACTTTTTTAGCAAATAAAAAACCTCTGCTTTCGTCTTAAATGTTTATCATTAAATGATATTCTATATCCGTGCTAAATTAAAAACAAAATCACTTTTCACTCATTTAATATAATACTTTTAGTTTTCTTCCTTGATAAAGAAGTTATTAGAAGGAGAAAACTCGTAAGGTCTTTCTGGTAAACTTTTGAAACTTATGGGGTCATATTTAGTAGTAGACTGCAATGGCTTTTTATTATCTTTGTTTAAATTAAAGTCGGGTGTTCCCCAAGGAGCCAACTTTGGGCCTTTACTTTGTTATATTTTTATCAACAATTTAATTGCCACGTTTTACATATGCAGATGGTGCTAACCTTCTTTGTGTTATTAATGTTAGCGATGCCATACGACTTCAGGATGACTTCGATAAACTTGCAGTTTGGTATTTTAAAAATAACCTTCAGTTAATTATTAGCAAAAAATGTAAAGTTGCATCATTTGGTAAAAAAAACTCTGTTATTGCATTTGATTACATTGATGGAGAACCCATAAGTAGGTGTGATGTTGTAAAATTTTCACTCTCTTAGATTTATAATTAGTCTGAAATGGAGCAAACCGCGAGCTAATGAGATGATTAAATAGGTGCAGTGTAATACAAATAATAATAGTAACTCTTTCATACTCAAATTTTCGAGAACATGTGGTAGCCTTACTTGATTTGATAAATAAAATAGACTGCCTCATTCATTAAATGTTTTAAATCACCCTATATAAATACCTCTAAAAAATATGAATGCACTGATGAGCTACAAGTATGGTTAGACCGATAATTTTTGTATATCCTATGTAGCATTTATTCAACAAAATTTTGAGATAACGTAATTAATTTTTTTGGAGGGGATAAGTTTTGATTACTCACTCAATTTTAAAATATTTCCAATATTTCAGAGCATTCGGTTTCACAGTTTCAAAGTTAAATTGCAAAAGGTTGTTATACAATGTTCATTTTTTACCTCCTGAACGCAAGCTAAGGAAGTATTGTAATCGAGTCTATCGATCGACTCCCTATTTTTATGTTTTTTCGATCCAAGAAATAGGTCTCCCGTTTCCGTCTATCTATCTCTCTGTCTGTCTGCCTGCCGTCTGTCCCGATTTTTATTAGACAGATAATCTCCGAAACTAATGGACCGATTGTTGTCAAATTTTGTATGTACATAGAAATATCATATAGATGGTAAAACGCTCGCTAAATTGTGGCTAATTATCCCCACGACCAATGACATACGTCATCTTGAAAATTTACAATAATATATATTTTTTTAATTCTATAAAGTAAGATAATCTTGCACTTGTGGTGTATAAATTCGTGTTTTCTCCCAAGATATCTCATTTTCTTGACAAAAAAAATCAAAATTGTATAACAACATTTTGCAATTTAACTCTGAAACTGTAAAACCGAAAGCTCTGAAATTTTGCAAAAGTTTTAAGATTATCTTAATGATGATAAATCGTTAATCAAATTTTATTCGTTTACCCCTCTCAAAAAATTGATGACGTCATTTCAAAATTTTGTCAAATAAATCCTACCCAAAATTTGCATTATAGTTTTTAGAATTGCTTATACAGGGTGTCTCGTAGAGCTAGTAGATGCTAGAATAAGACTGATTTTGGCAAATGAGAAACCCTCTAAGAAAAGAGAGGGTAGGTGGGCGGGGCTAGTACCTGCTAAGATAAGACTGACTTTAGCAAATGACGTATCCTCTAAGAAATTTAATTAAATTAAAGACATTAGAGGCTCCAAAGCAGTTTCGAATTCATTCCAAACAGGAATATCCAAAATCTCAAAATAGTTTTAAAGTTTTCAAAGAAAAAACGGGGTCCCAAAATTAACTCAAAAAGAGATCAATTCAGAATTTTCCAAAAATAGAACATCAAAGTCCCTTAAAATTCTTTTAAATAATTTACAAAAAATCTCTATGTGCATTATGGGCACTCAAATACTGACGCACTCAAGACTTTTTCAAATTCGTAAAAAGTACAACACTAAAAGCTCATAAGATTTTTTCAAGTTCAACCCGCAACAAAACACTATTTATTATCTACGAACGTTTTAAACGTAGAGTTTTGAAAACTTTGACAATTTTTGATTCTTCAAACGTTTTTAACTACTTACCAGTTTTTTGCTGATTTGTACCTTGGTTTTATATCAGGCAAATATTTTGACTTTTTTTCTTAATATACTTACATAGCATTCTTTGAATCACACGATACTCAAAAACATGTTTTTAATTTCTTGTAAAGAAATGAGTATTTTGCAGTTAAGCCCCGCCCCCTTGGTGCACGGCGAATAAAAAAAAATCATCACATTTGAGATAGGGCGGGTGGGCGGGCTTACATTTTGCCTTTTTGTTTTAATATGTGTAGACCTCTTTTCTCAACAAGAAACTTAAAACATGTTTAAAATGGAACAATGGTATAAGAAAATATTGATTATTTATATCGGTTGAGTTAGATCTTTTGATTTCGCAATAAATATTGAGTTATCTTTGCAAATTTGTCTTCTTATATTCTTGTTACTTGTTCCACTTTAACTTTATGTTTCTATATGTAACAAAGTAGGACAACTATTTTGCATAAAATAAAATTTGTTAAGGTCCCATTTTTTTTTTCATATTTAAGTTTCACCTTTATTTATTTCAAAATAAGTAAAATGTTACTTGTGCTAATTTTTCTCTGATCCTTTCAATTTAGTTTATTCTTTATAAATAAATCTATTAAACACAAAAATTGTAATTTAAATCATGTTTTCTAAATTCAAAGCAAAAAATTTGAATAAAAAATAAAAAAACAAATATAAAATAATTAAAAAGAAAAACTAGTCAATACAGCAAAAAATTTAATACAAAATAAAAAAAGCGATTTCAAAATACAAAAAATCTAAATAAAAATCTAGATTATATAATTAACTAGATGGATAAGAAAAATTTTAATATTATCAAATATATACATATGCAGAAAAATAATTGTAACAAAAAAAAAATTGGTCTAAAGAGTTTAGACAGTACTTCCCTCGCTGTCGGAAACTTGACGACTGCATGCCTATTGTGTTTTTTTCTCATTACATTTTTGTAGTGGGAATTTAAAAAAAATTGCAATGACGTCATCAACATTTTTGCAAGGACACGTATATCAGTTGGGATAGATGTAGTGTAATACTAAGAATAAAATTATTGTATTCCCAAATTTTCGGGAAAATGAATTGGGTCGTTTTGAATATTGATTTTTTATAATCAATAAAATAACGAAACAATTTACTCACGTATACGGCAACTGAAAATCGTTTATGTATAAACATTCTTAATTTAAGATGACAAGCGTAACAGCATACGTGAGAGTCAAACAGAGAAACTGTAAACAAAACGACCATCGGTTTTATTGCTTCGACTTCCGCTTATTATATAAAACATTGGGTTTTATTTTAATTCTTGACGGTGAAATTCACAATTGGTTGATATTAGCGCATAAAACAAATGCAGGTCTGTAATGTCAAAGTCGATGTAAATAAGCGTGCTACCCTTATGTTTCAACCGAGTTTTTCCTTTAACAAATTTTGTGTCTACCAAATTGGGTTGGTTGGGGTGTAATACTAATAATAAGTGTTGCCTTTAATTTAATCAATAAAATAAATTGACTTCATTAATTTTTTCGAACCACCTCTTAAGAAAATCTAAAAAATATGAATGGAACGATAAATCACAAGTACAAACTCATCATATTTTTTGCATTTTAGATAGGATTTATTCAGCAAAATTTAAGGGTGACGTCATCAATTTTTTTAGGAGGGATGAACAAATACATTTTGAACAAAAGTTTACCATGCTTATAATAACTTTAAAATATTCCCAAGATTTCAAAGCATTCGGTTTTGTAATTCCTGATTAAATCGATAAAATAAATTCACGCCTTCATTAATTTTTTTGAGTCACCCTGCATATACAAATCCAAAAATATGAATGGAATGATAAATCACAAGTACAGACTCATCATATTTTGTACATTTTAGATACGATTTATTCGGCAAACTTTTGAGCTGACGTCATCAGTTTTTTGTAGAAGATAACCAAATATATTTTGACTAAAAATTTATTATGCTCTTTATAACCTTAAAACATCTGCAAGATTTCAAAGCATTCGGTTTTGTAGTTCCTGATTAAATCAATAAAATAAATTTACGCATTCATTAATTTTTTTGAGTCACCCTGTATATGCAAATCGAAAAAATTTGAATGGAATGATAAATCACAAGAGAGACTCACCATATTTTGTACATTTTAGATAGGATTTATTCAGCAAAATTTTGTGGTGACGTCATAAATTTTTTAGGGGGGACGACCAAATACATTTTGATCAAAAATCTACCATGCTTATGATAATTTTAAAATATCTTCAAGATTTCGAAGCATTCGGTTTTGTAGTTCCTGAGTAAATCAGTAAAATAAATTTACGCTTTCATTTATTTTCTTGAATCACCCTGTATATGCAAATCCAAAAAAATATGAATGGAGTGATAGATCACAAGTACAGACTGATCATATTTTGTACATTTTAGATATGATTTATTCGGCAAATTTTCGAGCTGACGTCATCAAATTTTTGGAGGGGATAAGCAAATATATTTTGACTAAACATTTATTATGCTTTACATAACCTTAAAACATCTGCAAGATGTCAGAGCATTCCGTTTTGTAGTTCCTGATTAAATCAAT